GAAGTCAACAAGGGATTTTTTCCTTTTCCTTCTCTTTTCTGTAACATTACAGTCACTTAAAAAAAAAAAAAACTGAAAAAAATCCAAAAAAAAAGACATAAAAATGTCACATGTGTAACTGACATTTACTATAATTTCTAAGAATCTAAAATTGCATTCAAAAACAAGGTCAAATGAAAACTGTCCATGGAGTAACACACACTTAAAAAAAGAGGATCCAAAATTAAACTGTCACCCTCAAAAATCTGCTCAGCAACCTCAAATAATGAGAATGTATGTTCCTAGCTAATTAAAGTAGTTGGAACCAACTCAGAGGAGATATGACAAGTTAACACATTTTGGTTGACCGACCCTCTTAAATGCCCATGTTCCTCAGGAACTCTCATCTCTTTTCTATTTTTATTCACTTGTCCAACTCCCGTGGCATTAATTTAGTCACATAATCTTAAAAGTATCACCTAATGCACTAACTTCCAAAACTCTCAAATCCATCCTTTCCTGTCCATTCTCACTGTTATAATCTTGTTTTAATCCTTCAGTATTTCTCACCTGTTGCACTCCAAACACCTCCCCTAACTTATCTCCCTATGTCCATCTTTACTCTTCACCAACCCATTCTCTTCTCCTTCTTTTTTTTTTTCCTAGTACTGACACTACCACTGAGCTATATCCCCAGTCCTTTATTTTTTTAATTCTGAGACAGGGTCTAAGTTGCTGGAGCTGGCCTAAAACTTGTGATCCTCCTGCCTCAGCCCCTGAAGTCCCTGGCATTACAGGCATGCACCACTATGCCCACCTCCAGCCCATTATTAATACTGTGGCTGGAGTGACTTCTCTCAACCCAAACCCAATCTGATCTTATCTATGATCAGCTTCATTCCTTCAAGCATTTGCCATTACCTAGCCCTTTCACTCTTTCATTTTGTTCTTTCATTTTTTTATCACCCTATGACATACTATTTTACTTATCTGTTCATTGTCCCCACTCCGAATAAAATATAAATTCTGTAAAGGGCACAGTTTCTGTTCACTACTATAGGTCACTTGAATGAATGGACTGATGACCTATAGATCAAAGGCCTCCATGACCGGACACTGTGCTCTTTTTTCACTTTATTCCCACTGCACCAACAATGAATCGTGTGGTTACCTAAATACAATATGCACTTTCATACCCCCTTACTTTGACATATATTTTTCCCTTTGCCTGGAATATAACTCTCCTCACCAATGAACCTGCCAAACTATCACCAATATCTTAAAACCTTCTCCAGAAAGCTCCTACTGACCTCATGGAGTACATCCACCATTCTTTCTTTCCTTTGTACTACATCAGTACCTTTATCTACAGTGGCTTTAATTAAACTACTGGAATATGTTATCTCCCTTCCTAGACTGAATTCTTTAAGGCAGAGGACTATTTACTCACCTTTTTAACACTTATGGTAGTACTTGTCATAAATTACTGTGTAAATGTTCACTAAATTATGTGAGCATAATTAATAATGTATGTATAACTATTCTGTAAGAAGAATGAAAGCATGAAGTTTCCCTGGGTGTGGTGGCACACACCTGTAATTCCAACAGCTGTTGAGACAAGAGGATCTCAAATTCAAAGCTAGCCTCAGCAAAAAGCAAGGTGCTAAGCAACTCAGTAAGACCCTGTCTCTAAATAAAATACAAAACTGGGCTGAGGATGTGGCTCAGTGGTCAAGTGCCCCTGAGTTCAATCCCTGGTACAAAAAAAAAAAAAAATTTTTAAAGCATGAAGTTTCAAGAAGTCACTACTACAAGTTCATGTGAATTTAAGTCTATCCAGCCATGAGATAAAACAATTATAATTTTCAACACAAACCACAAAATTATTCTAAAGTAACTGCTTTATGATTACAATCACACTTTACTGGATATATACTCTGGCTCCTTCTTGCTCCATCATTTGCCTTTTTCTTAGGCTCAGTTCTGGTACTGACAACTCAAGGCCCAACTAAGCAATAAAAAGCAGAAAACAGTACTGGGTTTCCTATGAATAATCTATCAAATAAATCATTCTCTGAGGGAGTTTTGATGTTTCATCTAATAAAGGTTTTTCTTCTAATACAAGTTAGTATTCTATTTTGTCTTTAGTCAGCATTTTTATTAAACTTCAAAGTACTTGTACAGGATTAGATTTTAACATTAACCACCTAACCCTGAACCAAAAACCAGAGCTTCCCACCAGCTGTGAGCTATGCCATAAATGGGATAGAGCTACACCTAGACTATTAATGCATTCAGTCCTTGGAGCAGCCACACAGGAAATCAGTCACCTTCAACCACAGTGACGGATCCATTACCCTAGTACAAACATAACTATTTTTTCTCTAAATGCTGTAAACCAAGGCAACTAAATCCAACCATAAGGAAAATCTGCCCTCCCTGCTTAGTTCTTTTTGCTGTACTAGAGATTAAACCCAGGGCTTTGTACATGCTACGCAAGCACTCTACCACTGAGCTATATTCCCAGACCCCTGCTTAGTACTAGTAGTATGAACCTGCACATGAATGTACAATCACACAGAGATGCATACAAGTAAGTAGACATAAATATATGTGAAGCCATTTACAAAAGAGAAAGTCTTAAACACAATCACAGCTAATATAACATCAGTGTGACCAAAGGATGAAATAGATGTGATCTTTGATTTCTCCCTCTCCACCACTTGGTAACCAAGTTCTGGAAAATGTCCCATCTAATGTTTTTTTCAAAAATTATGCCTTAGTTCAGAATTCCAACATTCTTCTTTGGAATAAGAGACACCTATTGGTTTGTCTTTGGACACAGTAAAAACTGCAGCTACTATTTGTTGAGGGTTATATAATAAGCATTGCACTGAGCACTTGATCTTTTTAACTCCATATTTTTTTTTTTTTGCATTCTCACAGAAACACTGCACATTTTTAAAAATGAGGAGACTGAAGCTCTGAGAGAGGCAGACTTGCCCAAAGGTAAAATTGCCTAGTGGAAATTCAAACCAAACTGCTCAATACTCTTCCACTTGGTTCTAGTAAATCTGATCATGGTTTGCCCTGCTCATAATTCTGTAAAGTTTCATCTCTCACGCCTTTATCACTTGTGATTCTCACCCATGCTGCCACATTTTACTTCTAGTAGTTCCCTAATCTCTCTCACTTCTTTACCTGTAAAAATACTGTCTACCAAGAATACGTTTTCCCTTCTTCAGCTAGTGTGTTAGCTTTCCACCACGATGACAAAATACCTGAGAAAATTAACTTACAGGGGAAAGATTTATTTTGGCTCATGGTTTCAGACCATGGTCAGCTGACTCCATTGGCAAGGCAGAAACATCCCAGTAGAAGGACATGTTGGAGGAAAGCTGTTCATCTCATGGCAGCCAGGAAGCAAGAAACAAGGAAGGGGCTGGGACTAGATATACCCTTCCAGGACAAGCCCTCAGTGACCCACCTCCTCCAACCAGGCTCCATCTCCCAGTTTCCACCATCTCCCTGTAGTCCATCCAATTATGAACTCCTCAGTGTATTAATCCATGGATGAGATCAGAGCCTCATGACCTTATCACTTCCCAAAAGCCTACCTCTGAACACTACCTCTGAACCAAGCTTCCAACACATGAGCTTTTGGGGGACACCAAACCATAACAGCAGGCTATTTACAATATAAACATCAGGATTATTCAGACAACCTTTATTCAGAAAAGCTTTTGCCCTAACAAAAACAGTCAAAATTGGATTAAGAGTCTATATGCTACAGGTATCAACTAAATTTCTTATCATACTGCATTATAACTTTATTAATTATAATCATTAGGTTCTTAAAAGTAAATACTGCATTTTAAAAATCTCTGTATTGCTAGTATGATGTGTATGTAATAAAGGGCTCTCACATGTTGAATTCATGAATTATTCATCAGAAGCAGTTTAGTTTTAAAACTTGGCTCTGAAGTCAATTTCATGTGCTTCTGAATTCTAACTTGCCACACAGTATACCTGCTAAGCCTGCAGCCGACTTCTTAATGAGTGTTTAAATTTCTTCTTCTGTAAAATGGGAAGAAACTGCACCTACCTCATAGCGAGAGGAGTGCAAGAAATAATGGATTTAGCACAAACTCTGGCTCTTTGAATACACACATTAGCAACATCTTTTTCACTCGCAATGTCCATGTTGATACAGCTGCATCTCAGAAAATAGTTTCTTGAAGTAGTTTTCATTGGACCTTAAGATTCCAGCCCCCCACCCCAAATCGGAAGCTTAGATCTCTTACAAACATTCTCATTCACAGATCCTTGTCTTTTATATTATGAGGAGACTGAAGCTCTGAGAGAGGCAGACTTGCCCAAAGGTAAAACTGCCTAGTGGAAATTCAAACCCAGGTCTATATGCCCAGCCACTACATGATATACAGAATTCATTAACTATACCACCCTACTCATCTACCTAGTTATGCAATTTATTGCTTCTTACTACTCATGGGCTTCCTACTTCAAAGTCAAAAACTATGCCCCTAAAGGAAGCGGAAGCCTTGCCCACAGAAACCAGTGAACACCTTTTTTTCAGAATGTGTCCCTTCCCCATGCCTTCACCCAGGATCACCTAGTACAAACTTGAGTCTCCTGGGAGGGACAGCAATAGAGCCCCTGCTACCCATTCCAAGACCTTAACCCCCAAAGTATTTTAGACAGAAAATGAATTCCTGACATTAAAAACCCAAGAAAAAAGATCTCTCTGGGCCCTTCCCCAATAAAAGCTCCTCAATTCTATTACCCTCATATAGTAACCAAAATCTCCCACCCCATCCCGTCCCCTTCTGAGATTCCAGGATCTGGTCCACTATCTCTCGAAAGGTGAATCCGTACTTTCAGGGACCAGGATGCTCTCCGCCCACCCGTGTCGACTCCCTTCCCACCTTCCCAGTGCCCTCGCGCCGCACAGGCCCGGACTGGCCCCTCACCGCCGGCTGCTTCCACAGACCGCTACTCACCGCTTCTTGGGGATGGTGCCCGACTCCTGTGCGGCGGGAGTGGCCGTGGCCGCCGCCGTGGCCGCCGACGCGGCTCTCCGAGCTTTGCACTCATTGGTACTCAGAACCTCCTGGGGCCGGCCCAGCAGATGGGCCGAGAGAACCCGAAGCCTCCGCCCAGCGCGGTCCAGGTCCGAGTCCCGGACCGCTGCAGAGCCGGGGCTCGCGCCCGTCCTGCCCGCCGCAGCCGCCGCCTCCGCCATGGCTTCCGCCTTGTGCCGCCGCCCGGGACCGCTGGGCGTGGGTGAAAGGTCACTCAGAGCGGCGCCCGGCGCGACCATTCGCTGCGGCGCATCCCGGCAGCCACCGCGGTGCCTGGGCGGCGGGTGCCATGCGCCTGGAGCTCTACATTTTCTGCCCCCGCCCACCGCGCCCGCCCTCCCTCCCCTGTCACGCGTCTACCGCGCGCACCTGCCAAGCAGGTGAGTTTGAGCTAACTTGATTGGCCCTGCCCGGGTTTGGCAGGTCCAAGAGCCGAGCCTCAGGCGCCCCCGCTGTGTCTCAGAGCCGCGGAGATGTCCTGGGGAGTGGCCTGGGCTTCCTGAGGCCCTCTCGGGGGCATACTCCCAGGAGCAGGAAAAGTAAGCAATGCCATTGGACCTGACCACGGTACCAGCGGCGTCTTTTCCTGGAAGAGATCCTAGTGTTCTACGTCTGCTTTGCCCCTTGTAGGATCACTCAGAACTGATCCTCCTAGTTTCTATCCATTACAGCAGATAGTTCTATCATTTTCTCATTTCTCATCTCCTACTTCGTTTCTTCCACTGTGCTTAATGCTAGATCTCAAGTAAGTAATCTCCGATTTACAAACTAAAAAAAAAAAAAAAAAACTGGAGGGTGAGACATTTCTACCTTATCCGAGAGTATACAGCTAGTAAATGCTAAAACTGAGTTGCAGCCTGTTTTCTTAACATTCATTAATGGATTCTGTGTCCTTCCTAACCCATGACAGCTAAGTTTTTCATTACTACAGATGGAATTACTCAAGAGCTATTCTTGAGACTTTTCGATTATTTACAAATGGACCTCCTTTCTAGAAGATGGCACTTTGTAAAATTGGGGGGATCTCATCGGAAAGTGCTTCACAATCGCTTTCAGCCAGCAGCTTAAGAATTAGCTTTAAAACTCCCACTTTTACTGGCCAGTCATTCTCTGTGGTGTTACCACCTTCCAGTTATGCCTTCCCGGAGAAAAGAAAAATATTAGCAGAGGAATCTGAAGAACACCTCATACCTAGGACTAGATATTGACAGGATCTTGCCAGCTTCCAAGACTGAAATTGTTTTCACAGTGAACTTCCAAAGAGGCCCAAACTGGTTAAAACCCATAGATTAAGGGCTAGGCAAATTACTATCGGCAGCCAAATCCAGCCTGTGACCTGGTTTTATATAGCAGTCAAGCAATGGATTTTATATTGGGGGGGGGGGGTAAATAAGAAGAAGAAAAAGAAAGAATATGCAATAGATATCTTATGTGGTCCCACAAATCCTAAGATATGTAGATTTGGCCTTTACAGCTTTTATGTCCTCAGAATCATACACAAAGAGGTGCCAAGCCACATTGAATACAATCCAAATGACCAACAGTAAAGTAGTGGTTAAAAATAAATTAGGGGCTGGGGTTGTGGCTCAGTAGAGCACTTTCCAGCACATGTGAGGCACTGGATTTCATTCTCAGCACCACATGATTGAATGAATGAATAAATAAATAAATAAATAAATATATGTATCCATCTACAACTTAAATTTTTTTTAATTTTAAATATGTTAAATTTATCATGACCATTAAAACAGTTTAGTGCAACTGTGGAAACATAGGAAATTATTATGAATTTGTTAAATATAAAAATAGCTATAATCTGGGAATGGGGTTGTGGCTCAGTGGTAGAGCACTTGCCTAGCACATGCAAGGCCCTGGGTTCGATCCTCAGCACTACATAAAAATAAATAAATAAAATAAAAGTATTGTGTCCAACTACAATGAAAATATATATATATATATATATATATATATATATATATATATATACATATATGTTTATATATTAGCTATAATCTAACCATTTTTATACAAGTACAGATTGTTTAAAAGGGAAAGTAGCGCTCCAGTTAGGTGAAGCAGAGTGGGCGGAACAAGAGAGAAAGACTCAAGGCCTGTTTTCTCAATTTTGCAGCAACATCATGGCACAGGTTTCATTGTCCTTATTTTAGAGATAAAGCCTCAATGAGATTTAAGAGGCCTCTCTGAATAACTATATTATTTCCAGATATCATATACTTAATGCTATCATTCTGATTTCACCAGTAGAGTTTTGGGGCATTAACATTGTATATTAAAATTTACTTATATGGGACGTTAGAGATGTAACTCACTTGCCTAGTATGCACTAGGCCCTGACTTTGATCCCCAGCACAAAACACACACACACACACACCTTATATAGGCTTGGTTTTATTTGTGTACAAATTCTAAAGTAGTACTTCCTAAAACAAATTTTTGCCCTAGACATAAGTTATAGACCTAGTTTCTTAAGGATTGAGTCCTAGGAAGAATTTTAAGGATTACTACCACACCCATTAGGACCTCAATCATGCAGTACAAGAACATGAGGCACACATAGCACTTTCCTAGGTTTTTGTAACTGTGAAAAAGAATCTTTAAATGATCTTGAATAAGCCTCAAAGGTACTAGTTTCTGACTTTTGCATACATGGTCCCTGTTTTGTTGCACACTCTCACAACCAACAAATCTTGACCCTGATTGGCATGGATTCAACTGACTACCAGAAAAGTGGATATATAATCCTGCACATTTGAAAACCAAAGGGAGAGATTCTTTTACTTGACTTCATTGTCAATGAGAAAAGCTGTCTCTTATTTTAAAATTTTAACATCCACATTGCTGTCCAATGTCACATACATAATCCTAATAGTCTTTTGTATTGTACAGTCTGAAGACAAAGCCACATTTATATCTTTTGATCTAATAAAAGTCATCAGAACAGATAGAGATTACTCAATCCAAAAGTTAATGAGGCAAGGATCATTCTTTGATTTATCTGGGCATCATTTCATTTTCTTCATATTTTTACTTCATTCAAAACAAACTCAGATGTCACCAGTGATCTTGTTATAGAGAAAAATAATAGCAACACTGATCTAGACCTATCAGTTATTTAATCAAAATATTCTATATCCTTTAATATAGGTCATTTGCTTTTGCAGGAATGTATTGGTTCTCCCTGTTCGTCTTTGAATGGGGCAGAAACTGAGCTCATTTCCCCCTCCCTTTTATGTTTCATCGTGTTGCACAAACCTCAGAGTTATTTTCAACCACTTTCTCTTTTGTCTCTTTATAGTCAGTACATCAACAGTACTTGGTCCTCTGTGTCTCTTAAATCCATTGTTTCCCTAAGAATTTCTCACTCACCATTTATCATATACTACTTTATTTGTTAATAAACTTTTTGTTTGCATATGTCTGTTTCTCCAGACAGACCAAAATCTCTATGATGGCAGAATCAATAGCATATACAAGAATCTAAGACTAATTAATTTATAAGGGACTCACAAATTTGACATTGGGGAGCCACAGTCCTAATAGGAACAGTTTTCTCTCTTCCCCCAACTGAAAATGCCTGACTAAAGTTGTCTTATAAAACAGCACTTTCCATGATGATGGAAGTGTTCTGGGTCTGCGCTGCCCAATACATTAGTAGCCAAATGTGGCTATGAGTACTTAAAATGTGGCTGGGATGACTGAAAAACTGAATTTTAAAATTTTAATTACTTAATGGCCACATTTGGCTCATGATGACTATATTGAATAGCAGTTATAGACTATCAATAAGTTATTGATGCCTGCAAACACCAACACTGCCTTCCTCCTTTCCCCTACTACTGGTATAATTCATACTTTTTATTATTAACAAGAGGAGATGTCAAGGAGAAATGTTTGTGTTTTATATACTGACCTGATGCTATAAATATATTTTATCCCCCCCCAGAAAAAAAGCTATAAGTGATGAAATGTGGTCAAAAATAATATACCTTCCAAGACATTATAGGTTAATTAAACTTTTATAAGCCACGTTGAAGATCTAACCATTAGAAATAAAGTTCCTTTTGCATGATGTGCAATTCAAAGATAAGTTTGGGGAATGTTAAGAGAAAGGACTGCCATAAGGGTATCAAGCCCAAAGAAGTTACCTTCTTTCTGACGAACCACTTTCTTTATAACAGGAGCTCTGTGAAAGAGTTCAGACATTTCAAGAGTTTACTAATACATAAGAATTATTTAATGATTCTCAGATAATTCAGACAATGATAAGGAAAGGACTTGATGTGTATGCTAATCTCCAGATCGTTAGAGATAGTTCAACATTAGATACCAAATCCGCTATAGAATCCCTGAGCCCAACTCTTGTTTAGCTGCTGCTTCTCATTATTATATTCTTGCTTGGGGAAGTCATTGGCTTTTTCACGTGAACTAGGAGTGAAGAAAAGGGATACAGGAAGAGTAATTTGCTAAGTGCTCTAAGGAGAAAAGCGCCTCAAGTTTAACACTTCAGCAGCCCTACTCTTCAAGCTTTTTATACCATTTATAGATGTTACTAGAACAGTGTTGAAACCCCATCTAACACATTTGCTTATAATCCTGTAAAATTCAAGATTTCTTGCCAAAATATTATGTAATCCATAGTGTCCCCAGATTGTTTCTGGAATACAATGTGTCTATTTTTGCCTGACTCCACAGAGAATTTAATCTAACAATACTAACATACTTTTAGTATAAATATAGCTAACTAACTTCTTCGGTCTTGTCCAAATTGAAGTTTGGACAACCGCAATTTGCAAACCAAATTTAAAGATTTGGCAAATATCAGTAGGTTAACAAAAAGCTTTATCTTAGATGATGAAAAGACTAAGGTAACCCAAAATTATGTGCTAGTAGAAAAACTGCTACATATATTTCAAATATGTGTATGGTGATGAAAACATATAATCAGTAAAATATTTGTTAAGAGCCACTCTATTATAGTGTATACCTAATTCACTACTAAGTACTATGATATGCAAAAAGTACTTAAGCCAATGGCTTATCTACATGATATAATTAGGCTAGTTAGGAGTCAGGATATATAGATGGAGAAAACCTGTCATACTCATGAATAGAATAAGTGTGATAGAGATGACCTTAGTGATGGGTTTCCTCTTACAAGAAAAGAGTCCAA